TTTAGGTGTTGCTAAATCTCCAAGCTAGAGGCAGAAATGTAGCTTAGCTTTGGATAGTCTAATTGAATAATGATTTTGTGACTCGTGGGTTTTGATCCATAGTTACATATGAACAAGACTCCCTATTGTATTCTTTTTCTTTTTAGTGGCAATTCTTGTTAACTATAGGACTGGCAACCATGTAGTTACTCTTAGAATGTTTGCAATGGACTGAGAAGTGAAGCATAGGGCTATGAAGATGGACATAAGCAACTTAGGCTGGATATAGATGTAGGAGTTTGTGATGGCTTAGGATCACGTTTTAATGGATATGACTAACATGGTCATTAGCTGAAAGATGATTATTGATTAGTTAGGCACAACCTATTAGGCAGACAGATTAGTAGGATACAATCATAATGACTCTCATTATAACTATTAAAAGTCCAAGCTCATAATCTATCCCCTCAACTAAGTGAACCCAATCCCTAGTGCTGTTGCCAATGATTGAACCACAATTTTATGTGTTAGTGCCTTGGTTAGTTTTATTCTCTTCTAAACTCTATTTAGTTTTTTGGTTGAAATTAATTATAAATGTGACTGTAACCTATTAGGCTCAACTCTAAAACTACTTCATGTAATTTATTACTATGATTGACCTTGTACATTTGCAGGATTGTACTAATCACTTAATTAAAAAAAAAAAAAAGTAGTTGATACTTGTTAAACAAATAGTTATTTGTACACAGCAAACTGCATGTGTCATTAGATCATTTGCCATTAGCCCACAGTTCAGCAACATGACTAATTTCAGCTAAGATTTTTCTCATATTGCTAAAGGCCAGATAGTAAAAGCTAATTCTTAAACAATTAGAAGTTATTGGGCTGCAAGTATATCTAAGATACTGAAGCAAACCATGTGTGATGCTCTTTCCAATAAGTCAATTTAGCTATTTTATCTCAATCATATTGTTATTGAAGATCCAAGTCTCCAACTATCATATTTCACTTGGAAAAAAAACAGGTTATATCAGTAGTCAACTTGAACCAACAAGTTTTACCTGCACCAAAAATACATCCAACGCAAGAACAGGGTTGTATCCAGGAGAGATTCCCTGATAATATGGGTTTGCCGAGGAAGTCAGAGCCTTGGCGACCAACAATCCAACAGTGGCTTGCATGCCAAGAATAGCAGCACCCATTCCCAAAATGTTCAGTACTATGCCATTCTTCAAGCTCTTTACTACATCAGCCCGAGCGGGAGCCTGAAAGCACAAGAAAAAGGTAAAACTATCAAGTGACACTCACTTAACAGATAAGACATCATGTTTGACAAGAATCATTGAAATTATCCCTTGTCAGCCAAGAAAGCCACCTCTGAGGCACCAGACTATTAGGAGCAGAGAAGAAACGAGGTTAACGTTGCCTCATCAATTCATTTTCTACATGTCAAGAAAAAGTAAGATTCCATGTCTCGGTGACTCTAAATAGATGCTTCACCTAGTATATCCAAGGCTAGCCAACGAAATTCATGTAGGGAGGCTTTGATCCAAACATAAAGGCGAATGCTGCTACACAATACAATCTAAAAAGCATTCATGAAAGCAAAGTTGAGACAATTTTATATAACAATCGAGTACTATTGCTGGGATTACCGTTAATTCAGAAGCATGACATACAGCAGCTAATACGGTCTCCAATATTCAGTATTTAAAAGCATCAAAGCTCCATTCATATAAAACAGTACCTTGGTAGGCTCATTGGCAGTTCTTTGAAGCTTTTCAGATAGCCGAAGATATCCAAAAGACCAGAACACAGAAACAAAAGCAGCCGCTATTCCACCAGCAGTAGCATAAAACGTAACTGGAGATGTGATCTTTCCGGTAACAACAACAGAAAACGATAATATTACAGCAGCCACAACGGTGCAGACTAGCTGACCCCAAAATCCTAAACTACCCAAACGCTTAAAATACCTCGCCGTTTTCTCCAGTCTCTTAGAAACCTATAGATCAAAACCACGAAAATGTCATGTTACACATAAATAATTATTGCAGTTGCATAAAATAAACTACATTGATCACGGAATATTCAACCCTAAAATGGAATTTAAATTGGTCATGGAATGATCCAGAACCAGAGAGATCAGTAACTCATCGACTAAGCTCGAGGAATTCAAAGACGTACCCCAGCGAGATAGAGATAGAAGAGGACGGTGCGAGAGAGGGAATACCTGAGCAAGTTTTGCTTTCTCTGATTCATCATTGGAGGGAGTGAAAGCAGTAGAAACCTCGGAAGAAGCATTTACGTGGAATGGGTGCTTCACTAGTCGATAGACAGAACCGAAAAGAAAAGACGAGGAAGACGAAGAAGCCAGCGACTGGAAGGGTTTGAAAGAGGGCACAGAATGCAAGGGCGACGGATTCGGCCTGCGAACAAGTCGCGGGAGCTGAGGTGGCGAGTTGGCATGAGCTGCCGACGAGACCGGCGTCATCGCCATGAAAATGCCAGCGCGAGCAGCCGGCAAAAGTAGCGTTTGCATTCTTACCGCAACAAGGGAAGTATCAGGTGTTGCCTACCTTCACAAGGCCCGAGTATATTTGAACCTGTTCTGCTTCTCGATCTCCGACATTGAGTTTGCTGTTACTTGTTTTGGGCTTAAAGCCCAAACAGAGAAAGAAGGACGCCCATGGGCTTTAGTTGAAGTCCAAGATCATAGTCCAGAAAGCCCAAAACCTGACCTTACCGTCCTGGATCATGATTTTCGAATATATTTACCGCCCTCTTTTATATTTTATTTTTGACGATAAATAAATCAGTTTAGTTTAAATTTTAAAATATAATTGGAAAATATTTTAAAATTAAATTACATGATTTGATAAAATAAAAGGACAAAATATTGACGTATTGAGGGGCTAGTAGCAAATTAAATTACTTGTGAAACAATTTATCATATTGACTACTCATACTTAAGGACACTAGTGAAACTCTTTAGAACAGATCGTTTGTTAATAAGTTTAATAATCTAAGGACCAGATTATGAGTTTCTTCATCTTAAATTCCAAAGTTTTTCGTGCGATCGGAGATGCATGAAGGATTTTGTTAGACACGTGAGCGCAAAACACTAAACTATAGCACGTCATATTAAGAAGGGAAAGATGCCTCTGGACCGTCAATGCTTCTGTTGAATGACATGTTTGGATTATTGAATTAAAAAAAAAAAAAAGACATATTCGGATTGAAATGGAGGCTCCCTCCTGCTATTATAAGATTTGATTAGAGCCAATGATATGAATTTGAATCTTATATTGTCAATATTCACATCATACGACAAGTACTTTGTTTTTTCCTTCGTTTGTGTCTGTCACGCCTCTTCGTTTCAGAGATCAGAATGAACATTTGAATCGCACAGAGTTCCAACAGATTTCATCCAAAAAGCGATAATAAATAGCTGTAAACAACAACTAGGGCTTCGTTGAAAAGATAGTAGTTTGTTGGCATGAGATGTATTACCCATAATGATGTCCTCTGTTTTTTGGAGATAAGGAGGACAAAGAGAATCGTCCTCCATGGGGTCACGAGGGAAACTCCATTCACCAAGATAATAAAAGCCTTTTTGTCTTCGACCCCAGAATCTTTGATGTTGTTTCTTGCTCTGATCAGACGCAGGTAAACATGTAGCCAACGTCATCATTAATCGGGGTAAGTAAACAGCCCATGATAGGTAATTTTGACCTGCATGAGTTCTACACAGTTGTACGCTTCAAAAAAAAAATTGCTTTCATATATTTCAAAAATGCCAGGATAATTCACCTTTTCTCTGGTTCGGTTTCTCTTTTACTACATTTAAGTGTCACTGAAGGGAATCGGAACCATGTGATGAGGAGCTTTTACTGTGAGTTTCACCACAGGCTGACAGAGACCCATTCTGTGCAGTGCATGTGAAAGCTAGGGGATTAGGGTTTTGCTTATTGTTTTACGGGCGTTTCCAATGATCGTGCCGTATGAGAGAAGAAGAAGATGCTCGCCCTTATCCTTTTTGGGCGGAGATTTGGTCCAAGTTGAAGGACAGATACTGAGAGAGAGGCCTTTCACAGACTGATAAGGGGACCATTGTTTCTAAGTTCTGCACAGTTTTGGAGGAACATGTAAAATTTCTGTCCTACGTTACATGAGTTTGCCCAATCATGGCTCAACATCTTTCCAAAATAATCATATAAATTAATAATGCATGTGAACTTCAATAGTTTCGCCCCACTACTCATCCATCCTGACGTTCCTTTTCAAACAGAGAAAAGTACATGGCAAAGAAAGAAAATCCATACTCACATGTAGAATTACAAATGCACATGCGCCTGTGAGAGAGAGAGAGAGTCAGCCAGTTGTGCGTGTGTGTGTTAAATTTTGGTAATTAATGTAAAAATATCGGAGTGTTGAGTTTTATTGCGGATTGCCTCTAATAACAAAATTTGTGCATAATAAAAAGAACTAATTATTTTATCTTTCATTTCTTTTCCCTTGTTTTCCGACAGATGAATAGATTAAAGAGAAGATAACTTAACAACTAATCCTTTTTCCCTTTCTTTTTTTCCTCCGAACACCCTCAGAGATACCGAAAAAGAGAGAGAACGGGGTCCAACTTCTCCATATGTGTGAAATGTGGCAATGAAATCATAACTTCCCTCTGCCAGACGCCAGGCTCTGTGAGGTTAAGATCATAATTTTATAAAAATATATTCAAATAATCAATATACATTGTAAAATCCGTCGAATTTACTGTGAATGAACAGTTGTTTCAACAATAATTTTTCTCATTAATTTTGGTGGACCCTACACATATATTATTTTAACAGTTGTTTTTGTCTGGCGTCTATTTAATTTAAAACACAAATCTCACGTCCAAAACACTTTATCTTCTTTTATCACACTTTCTCATTGCTTAACTTTGTCAATTATTTTTAACCCAGTGACCCCATGCATTGCACGGGCTTAAATACCAGTTTTATTATATATTATAATTAATTATGGATCTAAAATCATATTTTTATAAAAATATTTAAACACTTATTATTTATGTTTAAAATAATTTTAAACTCAAAATCATGTTTCTTTAAAATTTCTAAACGCCTTTATATATATATATATATATATATGTCAAAATTAATTATAAACCTAAAAATATGATTTGTAAAATAATCTATATGATTTTTGAATAAATTTTTAGAAAATATAATTGAAAATATGAATTACAAAGCAAGTAATAATAGCTTATGAAATAATCATAATTTTATATTTATAATTAATTTTGGCATGCATAATAACACGTGTTTTGATATTTTTTTTTTGAAAATATCATTTCAAATTTATAATTAATTTTAATATGTAACATAAGTGTTTATAGTTTTATCTGATTTTCAATTCTATTTTTCAATTTATCTTTTTAATTTTATTTTTTAATTTTGATTAAAATCAATATCATTAATCAATTATATAATATCACATAATATGATCAATTATATTTAAAATCAATCATATTAATAAAAAAATTTATAATCAATTATACTTAACTGAAATTGAAATACACCCTCTCATCTTCTTTCTATGATAATGGTACTGTTTCTGCAGTTTAAGCTTCTTCCAAATTATTGAATTGCCCTGTGAGATTGTCCAAGTTCTATGCTAGTGCCTTATTTGAACGGAGGCCCTTATTGCTTATATTAACATATGTATTGGTCTGGGACAAAGCACAAGCCCTGAGAAAAAGGTAGTCTAATGTGAATGGTTTGTCTCTTCCCACAAAGTATAAGCATTCTCGGTGAAATATATATCACAAAATCATGTCTAAATTAGTGAAAATGAACGATGGCAGTTAATCTGGTGGCTGATATTTTTTTTTACGTTTAGCTAAGTTCTGGTGGCTTTCTTCACATAGCTGTTAGACCTAAATTGATGATCCTCATGACACATTAATAAGGGGTTAGGATTATCCATCACATGTTTCTTAAATCTTCTGATGGCCATTTAATATAAAATACAAAAGACGAAAGAGGATGAGAAGTGGATCAGTTTTTTATAGATTATTATAATGCATAAGTGCGGTCGCTCCAAGTTTAACAAGAGTTGAATGTTGCAATCTGCAATAGCACGGAAACTAGCCCCCAACTACTAGCGCTATCTCGTGCAATTCTGATGGTTCCCATATGACACAATAAAGCATAAATGTTTTTGTCCAATCAAGAACTACTTTAATCAGCCAATAGAAATTCGAAAGGATTGACATACAAGAAAATTTATCATTGTTAAGAATCCATTTGTTGATGCAGTAATTAAATTTTCACTCGCCCAAATGGTGGGGAAGGAATGGATTCCAACTCACTCGGGTGTCTTGTAGTTTCAAATGGACTCATCATCTCTTTTATATTTTGCCAGTCATGACTCCCAATATCTGAGTTTTCTAAGCATAACAGCGAGAGTTGGCAGAGCTGCACCATAAAACTTGCTTTTATTATCTTTTGATTTGTTAGGTTCAATTCGTCTTTATCATCTCTTTCTGCTATTGCTCTCTGTAGTCTCTACCCATTCAATCATTTCGGTTTCCTTACTACCACTTTGTCTGCTTCACCAAGTACAATGCAGATAGTAGCAGCTCGTAGAAATAGTTCTCCATTAATTCTCTAGAGATTTGGTCAACAGAATAAGGAAATTGCGGTTGTTCACCATTTCCGTTTTGCTCCTCTCTCCATTCCCTTTTTCTGCACCATGAACTCGTAGCTTCTGCCATTATGTTTTATCACTACTGCCACCACAATCATCTCAAGGAACCATGAACTTCAACTCCAAGAATTCTCGTTTGGGGTGTAAAGTTTTGTTCTTTCATTTTCTTCTTCTTCTTCGGTCATTTGCTCTGAACCCTGATGGGGTTCTCTTGCTATCCTTCAAGTATTCGATCCTCAGCGACCCACATTCAGTCCTGGAAAATTGGAGCTACCGCGATGTGTCACCGTGCTCGTGGAATGGAGTCACGTGTACGAAAATTGGAGGCAAGTTTAGAGTGACTAGCTTGGCTCTTCCCGAAAGCAAGCTTCTAGGTTCGATTTCTGAAGACCTTGGGGTGATCGAACACCTTCGAGAGCTTGATCTTTCCGACAATTTCCTTAACGGGTCAGTACCCAATTCTATATTCAACGCTTCTGAGCTTCAAGTTCTTTCTCTAGCCAACAATGTCATCTCAGGTGAGCTATCTGAGTCGATTGGTCAGTTGAAAACTCTTCAACTTCTAAACCTTTCAGACAATGCCTTGGCTGGTTCGGTCCCAAACAGTCTCGTTACTTTGAAAAATCTTACCTTGGTTTCTTTGAGGAGTAATTACTTTTCTGGTAGAGTTCCAAGTGGGTTTCACTCTGTTCAGATTTTAGATTTGTCTTCGAATTTGCTTAATGGGTCTTTACCCGATGACTTTGGTGGGGATAGCTTGAAATACTTGAACCTCTCATACAACAAAATTTCCGGAACAATCCCACCAGAATTTTCCAAAAACATACCTGGAAACTCCACAATGGATCTCTCCTTCAACAATCTAACGGGTCCAATACCACAATCTCTGGCTTTGCTTAATCAGAAACCAGAGTCACTTTCTGGGAACTCTGATCTCTGCGGAAAGCCCCTGAAAATTCTTTGTTCTATTCCTTCAACTCCTTCAAACCCGCCCAATGCAACCACTTCATCAACCCCAGCAATCGCAGCCATACCCAAAACAATTGACGCCAACCCCGAAACAAGCGGTTCAGCAACCCCCAACGGGTCACATAATAAGCCTCCAAACAGCCTCAAACCATCCAGCATAGCTGGAATCGTTGTCGGCGACATTGCCGGAATAGGCCTTTTAGTCGCGATAGCTCTCTTGGTCTACCAACAACGAAAGAAAAAAGATGCTCAACCCGCCGAAAATGTTATCAAGACTACATCGAAACAAGACCCGGAAATCAAAAAACCCACAATCCCCTGTTTCTGGTTAGCAAATGACGACAAGGAGACATCGGAAGCGACGAGCTCCAACAGCGACCAAGAGAATAGTAATGCGAAGATTGAGATGACGACCGAAAACGAGAATCTCCGGAAAGAAGGGAGGCTGGTGATGATGGACGGAGAGACGAGGCTGGAGCTAGAGACGTTGTTAACATCGTCAGCGTATATTCTGGGAACAAGCCGAGGGAGCATAGTGTACAGAGCAGTGCTGGAGGATGGAAGAGCGTATGCTGTGAGGAGGTTAGGCATTGGAGAATGCGCGGTGGAGAAGATGAAGGATTTCGAAAACCAAGTCAGAACAATCGTGAAGATTCGTCATCCCAATTTGGTTAGGGTTCGTGGATTCTGCTGGGGAGTGGATGAGAAGCTCCTGATCTGTGACTATGTCCCCAATGGAAGCCTCGCCAACCTTTGTCACAGTAAGTCTTTTCGTTTTTTTTTTTTTTTCCGGCCAACCTTAAAGTAACTCTTCACTGCACAATCTGCTTTGCAATTTTCTTCTTGTGTTTAGATTGTAACCCCGTTAAAACTAAACATGTTTATTATTCTTCATGATATTTAATAATGACTAATACTGAAGTGAACAAATTATTCAGGAAGAACAGGGTCGTCGCCCTTGAGCTTGTCGTTGGAAGCTCGGCTGAAGATAGCAAGAGGAATAGCACGAGGCGTAGCTTTCATCCACGACAAGAAACATGTCCACGGCAACATTAAACCCTCCAACATCCTTTTTAACTCTGATATGGAACCCGTCATCACCGACTTCGGCCTCGACCGCCTACTTTGCAACTCCAACAACTTCAACCTCAAAGCTAACAGTTCGTCTCGCCAGCTAGCCAGCCATACCCAACAACAACAACAAAAACAAGTACAAGACCAGCTCCCTCCGATGGCTTCGTCCTCTTCTGGTGGGATCCACCCACTTCCCTATCAAGCACCAGAGTGGTTCCAAAGCATCAGACCCAACCCAAAGTGCGATGTGTACTCCTTTGGCATCGTCTTGCTCGAGCTTCTCAGCGGGAGATCTATCTCGGACTTGGACATAGGCCAATGGCCTTGGTGTGATGACGTGGAGGAGGAGAGGAATAGGGTGCTGAGGGTGGCTGACGTGGCCATAAGATCTGAGATCGAAAATAAGGAACGTGTTATATTGGGGTGCTTCAAGCTGGGGCTTAGCTGTGCTTCTCCTGTCCCTCAAAAGAGACCCTCCATGAAAGAAACTCAACACATGCTAGAGAAGATGATTCGTAGCTAATTGACTCTCCATTGCAATCATGTATCGTAGCCCCAGGCATGAATTTTAGATCAAAATTTCTTAGCTTTTTCATCTATATTCTTGTTTAATTTAAAGTTGATTTAGAGCCTGCACGGAAGAAGAAAGATGACCATTTGTCCATGTGAGGAAATCATTTTACGTTTGATTGCCGAGTGAAATACTTTGTCTGTAACCTGTGATCTGAAAGAAACTTCCTCTGTTTGTCTCCTTGGATTTCACAATGAATGCCAATAAATATTGACAGCTAGGCAGGAAAACCTTAAAAAATTGTAATCTGAGGCGGTGAGTGTTAGGACCTAGGACGTCGAGAGGTAAATGCATGGTGTGTGATTGATGAAAGCTTCTGATATCTACAACTACTCACAAGTCACATTATAGATTGTGACCACGCGTACAATGTGAATTCTGGTTCATAACAAGGTAACATTTAAACTAATCATCGATGAGACAGAGATCCGTGTGAAGAATTTGTGTTTGCTTGGCTTCTGGGTGGTTGAAGGATCACAGCTGTTTTAAGGTTGCTCATATAATGTGGTAGCGCTTTCGGTTTGAAGTGCTGGCTCAAACTAGTCTCCTGCTCATGCTCTGCCTTTGGCAGTCAGAAACCTTGGTTGGAAGATTATTCAGATTTGTGTTCTTTGAATGCCTTTCATCGCAAACACCAAACTTAAGTTTACAGACACTAACAAAGAAGTCAAAGAAACAGAAAGTTCATGGCGTCCATATGCGAAGGAAGGATTCTTCACAAACATCAGATCCAGAAAGCTCCACAAATTGGATGATATGTAGCAACCTGCGGCTGCCTCCCCCAATGGACAGATGTGCCTCTACACGTAGTCCCTGAGAGGGGATGGTCTTTTAATGAAAGTGACACCCAATAGGGATCCCAATTTGACCTTTTAATAAATGAAAAAAAAATCTCAATATGAAAGTTAACTTGGTAGAGGAACCATAGAGCGAATCTATGGTCTGGTCAAAAGGAGAGGAAAAAAAAAAAACGAATATGCACAGAAGGATTCATTCGCAAGTTATTCTTATTTTCAGTCAACAGAAACACTTTACAGTAAGCACAAGACACCAAATTCATGTTAGTTACTTTCTTCTTTCCTTTTTTTTTTCTTGGATACAACGGAAACTCAAAAAAAAAGCAGAACAAATTCGTGTTAGTTATTAGTAGAAGATAATGCAGTAATTCCGGGACCAAATTGACAGTTTTAAGGCAGCAATTATTGATTCAGGGCATTCCTGAGATATGACCAAATGTTGATTGAGCGCTGTGGGGCAATTTGACCATGATACTGCAACAACAAAAAAATATTTACCAATATGCTTTGCTTTTAAAAATATTTTTTCAAATACTACAAATTTTAAAACTTGACTTCAAGGACACTGAGCTCCAATTTTTGTTCTACGCACAAGCCAAATTTTGTACGAATTTTTTTTTTTCAAAAAGTGCCAAGTTCTATACTTATATTTAAAAAAAATAAAAAATTGATGTGACATGTGTAATAGATTATATTTATTATGACTTCACCTCAATATATATGATTGTATTTCATAATTTCTCTTTCTTTCCTCTCTTGTTGTTAAAGTCGATAATTCAAGTTAAGCTCGATAAATCAACCTGAACCCACTTGAAAAAAAAAATGTAGGGCTAATCTTAAAAAAAAATTTATATCTGTGTCTATTAGCCCAAATACCTAAATAAAAAAATTTTATTTTTTAAAATATATAAAAAATAATTAAATATTAATTAATTTTTTAAATTTTATGTTATTTTATATTAAAATATTATAAATTTGAGTCCTATACATCATTTAAGATCAAAAAATATATTTAATTATACCCATAATTGAGAGTATTATTTTATTTCTATTTATATATTACTCATAACATTTCCATTAGAATCAAGAAAAAAAATTACAAATCTCATTAACTTTAAGAAAATTAAGATACTTGCTTCCTCTGTTTTCAGAAACTTGTAGTTCAGCCTTGCGCTGCCTTCTTTTGGTGTTTACGTGGGTGTTGCACTTATCAGATGCTTCCCTTCATATTTACCGCTACTTGCATAGGCTAAAAGAGAGCTAAAACTTCCTAAAAAATATTAATTAAATACCTAGACAATAAAATTTAAGACAATTAAGGTATTGCGCCCAAATACCCGAACAATAATTGTCTTGAAATTAATGAAATTTGTAAGTTTTTTTCTTGATTCTGATAAGAATATTAGGAGTGATGTATAAATAGAAATAGAATAATACTTTTAATTATGGGTGTAATTAATAATGTTTTTTTATGAAAATATAAAATATATTTTTTGATATTTAAATGATATGTAGGACTTAAATATATAATATTTTAGTATAAAATAACTTGAAACTTAAAGAATTAATTAATATTTAATTATATTTTATATATTCTAAAAAATAAAATTTTTTTATTTTAATATTTGGATTAATAAGCACGAACATAAAAAAAATTATTTTTTTTTAACTTAACTCTACATACTGTTGTGCAGAAAAAAAAAAATAAAACTCGATATCATTGAAGTTAAATTTTAAAATTTGTAATATTTGAAAAAATATTTTTAATTGTCTTGAGGGTTATGACATCCACGTCGCACGGGTATCGTGTACTGTGCCAGACTCTCAGTCCGTGACCGGGGGCTCTCCTCATCGAAACACACCGTAAATTGTTCAATCGTCCTGACGTTGAATTTAGGTTGAAGCAACCATTCAAAGCACAAAACTTTCAGGTCCAAATCTACATCGAGAGGCTGCTTCAGATACCAAGTCCTCCTCCTAAGAACAGATCCTGAATCCTTCGCCTGAGAAAGCCATGTCAACGATTGAGACACAAGGACAGAGCGCAGACCCTAGTGTGTTGAAAGCCATGGAAGTGAGCACAGTTCCCGATCTGAACCCTTCCGATCTGCAAATCTTTATTCTCTCCGGCCAAAGTAACATGGCCGGCCGAGGAGGCGTCATCAGGCATCCCCACAATCACAACCAATGGGACGGCTTCGTTCCGCCGGAGTGCCGCCCAGATCCCTCCATCGTTCGCCTCAACGCTCACCTCCGGTGGGAACCGGCCGCGGAGCCGCTACACGCCGATATCGACGCCGCGAAGGTATGCGGCGTGGGTCCTGGCATGTCGTTCGCTAACGCTGTGAGGCCGCACGTACGGGGAGGAGCATTGGCATTGGTGCCGTGCGCGGTGGGCGGCACCGCCATAAAAGAGTGGGCGCGCGGAGAGAAGTTGTATGAAGAAATGGTGAAGAGAGCGAGAGAAAGCGCGAAGTCGAAGCGAAGCGAGATCAAAGCGTTACTATGGTACCAAGGAGAGAGCGACACGTTGGTTGAGCATGACGCCGAGGCTTACAGAGTCCACATGGAGAAGCTCATCCAGAATGTTCGCGAAGACCTTCATTTGCCTTCGCTTCCAATAATCCAGGTGACCTTTAAAAAAAATAATAATTGTATATTGACTTTCTTTATTTTCAATCAAGAAGTCTAGTCACCATTTTACTGTTACATGAGTGTCAAGATATTTCAACCAAAAAAAAAAAAAAGAGGAGATTCAAAAGAGATGCAAACGTGGTAGCTTGTTGATTGAGCCATGTGTTCTGAAAGTCAACACTTTGAAATGATATTAATGAATTATTGATATAATTGTGAGTGAAATGTGAGTTTGGGATGGACACAGGTGGCTATAGCGTCAGGTGATGAGAAGTACATAGAGAGAGTGAGGGAAGCACAGAAGAGTATTAATCTTCCAAATGTGGTTTGTGTGGATGCAAAGGGATTGCCATTGAAGGAGGATAATCTTCATCTCACCACGGAGGCTCAAGTTCAACTGGGTCAGATGCTCGCCGATGCTTATCTTTCCCATTTTGTTGCAGTACCGTGACTGATTTGTTATTTCGACTTTTCTCATCAGCTTTCTGATTGTCTGTCTGGCCTTTTGTTGTGTGGGGGAAATTTGGTGTGGATAGTTCAAGCACAGGAATAAAGGAAATTTGCGTTTGACTTTTGTGATTCAATGTTAATTTTATTCATGGTGTGTATGTTTTTCGAACAAAATCCATTCTGAAATTCAAATCTCTGCACTTACACATTAGAAAGAACAATTCAGTTTCTTCCCAGTTTCCAGTTTGGATCTCAACTGTAAAACTTCTGGGATAGTGAGGAAAGAAAGTCCAAATCTGTAATATTCTTTTTAAAATAATTGTGATGAATGTTTAAATACATGTGCATGTTTTGTTTGTTTGTTTTTATTTATTTATTTACCAAAACAAGTGTATGTATATTATTAATCTTCAAAAAACTTGTCCCCCCGCGGTCTCCTTGCTGGCTCCGTCCATGCGCATACACGCGTTGTGCTTAACACTCGTACGTGCTCTAACACGAGAAATAAAGAAGGACCAGATTCAGATATTATATACATATTTTCACCTTTTTAATTATTCTCTGATTACTTTCATGATTTTTTTTAAATTTATTCAATTATTTTTTAAAAAGTACAAGTCCGATGAGTAGTAGGAGGTTTTCAAGGGGCAGAATCAGGACACCAAAAATAAAAAAAAAGGATTGAATTTTTGTGCTGTGTCCCAACTCGTTCTCAAAGTCGTCCCATTCCATTATGAATTAAAATATAATCGAGATAAGATCGGGACGTTTCGCTATACAGATAAATCGGACAATGTGGGAGAAAGGTGTGGATAAAAATATTCATTAAAATTTTAAATCATATAATTTATTAAGTTTAAAATTAAAATAAAACTCGTGCATATAAATCACAATAATTTAAAATCAATTATTGAATTACATCAATTACAATTATAAGTGCATGACACATCATGATAGCAATTATCAGTGATTCCTAGGCTATAAAAGCAATAACAACAAACAAGCCAGGTATAATATTAAATTATTGTTCTTGTTCTTTAATTGAGATATGAAAATAAAGCAAGAAACACAATATAAACAAAAGTTATTAAATAGATAAATATAAGAATAAATTGTATTAGTATAATTATTAATATATATTATAAAGAAAAATATTACTTTATACTGCTTACTCTATATCATTAAAATTATCAACATAAAAAAATTTTAATTTTAAATAAAAAATTACACATATTAAAATTATAATTGATATAATTAATATAATTTTAATGTATATTTTTAAAATAGATAATATATGTAATAATTAAAATGGAACAAGATGTCTGGAGAGCAATCTCATATCCCGTCCTGTCTTCAACTCTTTTTCCGTTCCATCTTATAAAATTTCATTTTGATTGTCTTTGAACTTAGACAAAATCCATTCTGATACAAGCGAGATAAAATTAAGTTAATAAAAAATAAAAAAAATACAAGTTAAACACCCTCTTCTAGCAGCACTCCACTGTGCGTATGGCACACGGGAAAGTGAGATGGATCCGCAATTGATTTGTGGGCCGTTTCCTGCCGTCAAGTGGGATGATCTTTTGGAGAAGCAAATGCCAATTTTTCTTCTCCAACCTCCTTCACTATATATGTGTGTGTGTGTGTGTGTTATTTACTTCTTCTCTATATTTTTTAATTACCTTTTCATTGCAGTCCCCAGCTCGTCTCTTTGGACTTTGGAGCTATCATCATCCATGAAAACTTGAATTATGCTGCATTACCATGTTCCTTTTTGTTGACTCATTAGAATTTTCACTCTAAGAAAATCAATGAGCCCTTCTTTCGTCGGTAAAGCCGCAGTTCAGTCATGCGAATTGGCAAAATTAAAAAAAGAATATTGTATTTCGGAATCAAAAAATCGTGAAGCACCTGTTTGATATTAAGAAAAGGAAACTTATATATTTGACATTATATATTTAAATTCCTTGTTAATAAATCTTTATATATTATTTATGTTATAATAAATTTTTAGCTAAATTATACATCACTCTCATAAACTTTAAACCATGTACATATAACTTCTTTAACTTTTAAAAACTTACGATGAACTTCTTTCAACTTTTATATTTATACAGATAACTCTATATAATTAATTTTATACATTAATTATCTATACATAACTTAAAGTTTATAGAATTTATCCCTATATCAATCAAAGTTTTAGGGTTTAAATACACACAAAAATAAAGCTTAAGGGGGTATAGAATTAATAGGTAGGGTTTATTTGTATAAATTTGAAAGCTTAAAAAGATTTATTATTATAAAGACATACTCCCTCCGTTAAAAAATGTAAGGCATTTTTTGAGAAAACAAATGTTCAAGAATATAAGGCATTGTTAGTCTTTGGAGGTATAATTATTATTTTTTTAAAACTGCTCTTATTGATAGTTGTAACACCCTCAAATTCACAAACCGATTTTTCGTAAATTATTAAAACCATTATCATGGTAGAAAATTTTCTTACCATGATACATCCAAGACATAACACAAGTCTTAAAATATCCAAAAAGGAAACTAAAATCATGAGAGACAGACATAATCCTCATGTCATGATATTCAAATCAGATCATAAATCAAGAGGGACAGACATAATCCTCTTGGTCATATAAATACTTTTAATAAAAAGGATTAGAGTTTACATGCTTCACAAAGAAGATATGTCATAAGTTGGCACAAGATATATTGTATAATTTAAAATAAGAGGCAACGTAAAAGATGGTGTCTCATACACCATAGTTACACCTCTGGTGCTTTCTCGGCCGGACTCGCTCCTGTAAAAATATTAACCACGGGGAATGAGACTTAAAAGTTCCAGTAACCAAAAATTAATATGTAATGATGCATGTGGATGTAGCTAATCATGCGATTACTAAATGGGCATACAAAACATTTAACCGAACAATACTTTTAAACAAACCGAACAAGTATAGAGCCAATAATTCGGGCCGAGCCCAACGGGCTAGCCCGAATTAGCCCTAAAAATTTTAGGGCTGGGCTTTAAAAAAATATTTTTTTATATTCAGGCCTATTCGGGCCTGCCCGAATAAGCTCGAAAAAATTCGGGCCAAGCTCGATCGGGTTCTGGCTTGACCCGAATACCCGAATAAAATTTTTTTATTTTTAAAAATATATAATATAATAAATATTAATTAATTATTTAATTTTTAGGTTATTTTATACTAAAATATCATATATTTGAGTCCTAGACATCATTTAAGTATTAAAAATATATATTTTATATTTTTTTATAAAATAAAATAATTAATTTTAAAGTAAAAAATTTAATTAAAAATAATTTTAAAAATACAATTCGGGTATTCAGGCCGCCCGAAGCCCGAAGGAATTCGGACCGGGCTTGGCCATTCAGGCTTTTTAAAAAAACGGGCCTGTTCGAGTTCGGGCCTGTTCGGGTCGGCCCGCTCGAATTCCCAGCTCTGAACAAGTATTTAATTTGTATGATTGCATCTTATATCCTCCTTTCGCCGTGCTCGGACGCCAAACAACCCGGCCAAAGGTGAGTTGGACCAAGCGACATGCCACTCATTGGGTCTAATGAGGGCTTACCACGTGGTAATAATTAACTGAAATGCTAATCTAAACAGGAAATTTAGAACATACCTAAAAAAAAATATAATCCCCCCTTGCGAGAAAACGTTGAGCAACGTGAGAGAAAGAGAGAAAAATAATATAAAAATAGAATTGTGGTCCCAAAATTATATTAAAAAAAAACTATAGACTTGAATTTAATTATTCAAATTTTTGGACCATTACTTGCAATTTTTACAAATTACATCTTGAACTCTTAGTTGCAATTTTCACAAATTACAATAAAAATTTTCTCATGCTTCTTCCACAATGCACCTCCTCTTTTTATACATGAGGAGGTGCCTTTTATTCCCACATCTAACCGATGTGGGGCTAAATCCCCTCCCTTTTTTTTTACTTTCTTTTCTTTTCTTTTTTTTAACTCACACACACACATTAATAATTTTTTTTAAATCTTAAAATTATATCTTAACAACATATTTCTTATATAATTTTAAATTTAAATTTTTAATTCATAATTAAATGCCTAACTATATTATTATTTTCAAATAACCTCAAATAATATAAATTTCTATTATTATTATCATTTTTAAAAAAACTTAAATTTCATAAAAAAAATTTTATCTAAAAATTAGGATGTTACGATAGTGACTTTATATTTATTATAAGGTATCTAATAAAGATAAATATAAAAATATATAATTAATTTGAAAATAGGTAACAGTTTTATTAAAAAATAAAATTTAATTAAAAATATTTTATAATTTTTAACAGAAGGGAATATTAAATATAAGAGTTTGAGTACGGAAATTTTTTTCACTAAGATCGGATCAAAATCTTGAGAAATACGGCACCTACCGAGCGCCCTCCTTTCATCACCACTGGCTTTCAATCATTCTTTAGTTCAGAAAAATAATAATTATATATGTTTGCTTCAAGTTGCGTGAACATATAAAATTAACCATCGGCGGATGATTACTATGGATTTTTTTTTTCCCCCACGCGCCAGGGAAAGCGTCACGCAATAACATGCACCTACGGGGGGCACCTAAGAAAGTGAAAATGAGCATTGCAAACATATTAATAACAAATGAAGATGTTCCATTATTCAGGCATGACTAGAATTCAATGTTTTTCTGATTCTATTGATGCCTTAAATTTGATTATCATAGGAGGAGCTCTGCTCTTTTAGAACTGCAAAGTGGAGCTTTATCTTTCCTCCAGAGAATGCATTAGATTTGCCAACTTCATGGCCAAGGAAGCTTATGATATCGATCAACACATGTTGTTCCAGAGTTCCCACACGCTGTTTTGGTTTTTATTTTGATGGTCTTTATGGGCCTTAAGCCGATATCACTTAAGAGGATAAAATTTATTGTTATTATCGTTGATCTTCATGGACCTTGCAGGGGCTCTGATATGTAACCTGTAACTTTCTCAAGCTATTAGTTTGCCCTTTTATGCGTCTTAATTTAATTAAAAATAAAAATCTTAACTATATAATATTAAGTATGTAAATTTTTATATAATTTAAAATTGTCAAAACAGTTCCATGTACCATGTCAATACATATAATATTTCATTCCATTTTTTTGGGTGTAAGTTAAATATCAAGAAAGTGTATGCATCTTTTGTTTTTGCCAAATCAATGAATTTTGATCGAGAGTTGCATAATAATACACGTGATTGCTAGTAAATTAACAAACAATGTTAGTAAAATAATAAGTCAAGTTTGAGTTTTAACAAGTTATTAGTATTAAACATGTAAAGGACAGTGTCAACAAGTGTTTCCATTGAATCAACAATCATTATTAGCAAAATAACAAGTAATATTATTAACAAGTTTACTTAGTTTTGGTTTGAAAGTTTGGATTATGTTATATATTATATTTGACACTATGTTATCAAGAAACACTATTGGCTTGGTGGTTATTAAACTTTTTTTAAAAAATTATTTTAAAGGAATTTTGGTCTTTTTCTAACAAAATATAATTTCAATTTAATTCCTTGATCTAGTATTGCAATTTCAAAATTTCTTGAAACTGATTTGAAATTAAGCTTCATCCCTAATCTTGTAATGAAACTCTCCCTTTAAACAAAATCACAAATATCAATAAAGTTAATTAAATAAATGCACTTTATAATCTAATTTTTTTAAAATAAAAATATAAATTTTTAAAAATACCTTCATTTAATATTCAATTTATGAAAGAATATTAAGAAAAAATATATTTAAAAAATAATATTAAAAAATATTATTAATAAAAGTTTATTTTTGTTTAAGTGTTTTACGTTGTTAGATGTCGAACGTTTTCAAAAAATACTCATATCTTATAATTTAAAATAAAAAGAGTATATAATTATATACACAATCTCTATATATTATAAATATTGTATTTTTTTTTTTTTTGCTTTCCAGCGCGACAAAGAAATAAAAGAACTTTTCCCCAACTTTTAAGACCAACCATCATTAGATTGTAACACATACTCTCTCCAAATTATAACACAAAATATCTTTTAAAAATCTTATTTAATTTAAAATATAGAGTATTATATAATTTTTTATATTTATTTTTTAATTATATCTCTATTTTATTTATTATTTTTTTTAAAAAAACTATGATTTAAAATTTTAATTAATATTATCAAGGCTCTTATATGAGATATTTAAAGAGAGTGTAAATAAAAAGATATCTACATTTTTAAGAACTTAAAATTTTAACTAATATTATTCGTAAATCGTGAATCAGTCAATTATGACTTATATTGTGATCTAAAGGAGAAATCAATACTAATTATAAAATCTTATCACAAATCCACTGTAGTTAGCCGTAATTAATAATAAAAATTTAATGTATTGCGTATATTAATATTAGATTTTTTTTTGGATAAAAAAAGGGAAATACAAACCAAGTACCAACTTAAAAATAAAGCCTAACAACACTTTCATCAATCACCGCGTTCAGTAATAAAGGATGGGAGTTGATCAAAATATGATTAAATGTAAAGTTATGCGTACCTAAACTATCAGCGATATAATTTAATATTAGATTTTTTTGAAGCGTTGGTTATAAAAGACATCTATAGTCCTTCCATGGTGGAGTACACTGGCGTCCGGATTCCATGTTGGGAGGCGCATCCAGATTCCAGTTAACACCACCCCCCAAAAAAAAAAAAAAAAAAAAAAAAAGACCGTAGACGTAATTCTCCAAACTTCGGTGAGTGTCCGGTAATTGCTTGCGTCCAAAGTAACACTTGCAAGGATGAGAAAACCATGGGAAATGGGACACACAGACTTTGGACCTGTGAGTCTTCAGTGACCAGTTTTCTGGTTAATATTACTGGCAAACTCTGCTTATCAGCGCGTGCAACTCAATCTCCTTGGTATGGTATAAAACACCCCTTCCCTCGCATTTTCGTTTCAGCTTTCCTCATCAGTCGGCGGCGCAATTTTTAGCCGAAGGCAGGCTACACCCGAACTTACCAACCCCATCATCAATGGCAGCCTCAGCATCACAAACCCTCCGTACCCAGTCCCTCTGGAGATCATCGCTCTCCCTCTCTTCCAAACCCTTTCTATCCTCACACTTCTCCGTCTCTCTCCGCCAACGCAGGACCCTACCCGCACGGCCCCTCGTGGTGGTGGTCTCCGCGGGTCTTGATTCCAAGCCCACTATTCTAGTATCGGAGAAGCTCGGCGAAGCTGGGCTCAAGCTGTTAAATGAGTTCGCCAATGTTGATTGCTCCTATAATCTGAGCCCCGAGGAACTCTGTACCAAGATTTCGCTCTGCGATGCGTTGATTGTGCGCAGTGGAACTAAGGTCACCCGCGAGGTGTTCGAGTCTTCTGGTGGAAGGCTCAAGGTGGTTGGGAGAGCTGGCGTTGGAATCGACAATGTTGATCTGGCGGCGGCGACCGAGCATGGATGCTTGGTGGTGAATGCACCCACGGCCAACACGGTGGCGGCCGCCGAGCATGGAATTGCGCTTTTGGCCGCCATGGCTAGGAATGTTGCACAAGCTGATTCGTCCGTGAAAGCTGGTCAGTAAATTGAATATTGGAAGTGTGTGTTCGATTTGGCCGTTGTTATGCTTTGGAGCATTTTATCGAATACTTTGTATCTATTTGATGTGATTTTGGTCTTAATTATGATCATGCATGCTTCTTTTTGTGCTTTAAATGAATTTGAGTAATCCACGAAAGTTGAAGTCTTTTCACATACTGGGATTGTGCTCGTGCATCGAAGTGCTTGAGAATATTTCCCGTTAGAAGACACACATTTCAAATGAAGGAGGGACGGCTGTTTTCGTACTTTTTAAGGTTTGATGAGATCTGCTTTGCATGGATATGATAAAGCTATCGTAGATTCGTTTGATAGATTTGAATATATTAAAGAACGGGAATGAGCGTATCTATGACAAAGTCAAAGTAGTTTTACTTTGTAGGACAAAGAAAACTATAGTTGAGAGCTTGTGAATATTGTCTTTCCTATAACCTTTTATGCAAAACAAATCGTAATGTTCTCTGTTTCTACCTCGCTCTTTTAAAGTCCATGCTGCTTGATTCACCTGTATGTTGGCTGATCCAGGGAAATGGCAACGGAGTAAGTATGTAGGGGTGTCCCTCGTCGGGAAAACACTTGCCGTGATGGGATTTGGGAAGGTTGGTTCTGAAGTTGCTCGACGAGCCAGGGGACTTGGTATGCATGTCATTGCGCATGACCCATATGCTCCAGCAGACCGTGCTCGGGCAATTGGGGTGGAACTAGTGAGCTTCGATGAAGCCATTGCTACTGCAGATTTTATCTCTTTACATATGCCTCTTACTCCCGCTACATCAAAGATTCTCAATGATGAGACTTTCGCTAAGATGAAGAAAGGAGTTATGATAGTCAATGTAGCTCGTGGAGGAGTTATTGATGAGGAGGCTCTCGTTAGGGCTCTAGATAATGGCATTGTAGCTCAGGTTTTTCGAATCTCTTTTATTTGGAAGAACCATGTGTTCGCTACTTCACTGTGAAGGAAGCTAAATAATCATGTCTCTCTGTTTCAGGCAGCGCTTGATGTTTTCACGGAGGAGCCACCCCCAAAAGACAGCAAATTGATTTTGCATGAGAGAGTGACTGCAACACCTCATCTTGGTGCTAGTACTGTGGAAGCTCAGGTATGTCGAGCAATTTGTTACGAGCCCCACCTTTTATCGTTTGATGAACTTTAAAATTTTGTGCAGGAAGGTGTGGCAGTTGAAATAGCAGAAGCTGTTGTAGGGGCGTTGAGAGGGGAGCTTGCTGCTACGGCAGTCAACGCACCAATGGTTCCTGCAGAGGTACTAATGGAAATTTATCATTTTCCCTTTCAAGACAAACAATCTTATACATTGAATTGTTGCCACAGTTCCTCATTCTTTCTATTGATAGCATTTGAATGGGAAAATGAACCTGCTTTGTAAAAGCTAACTGTACGGCATGAGATTTTTCTGGTTGTAAAGAGTTAATCTTAGCACATACGACAACAATAATAAAAAGCTTTATCCCACTAGTTGGGGTTGGCTACATAAATTATACGACGTCATTGTACTATATTATTTACCAAGCTTTTAGAAATTGGATTAATATCTATCTATGAATGAGTATGGAACAAATTTTTTTCCTTAATTTTTGCCCAAGTTTTAAACGTTATTTGCTCAAGTGGAATTAATTACCCACTTCAGAATTTTGTTTTAAAAACTCTGGTAAGAGTAATTGAGAATACTGGGAGCTTATCAATCAGTGGTAGCCCTTGATTTTATGTTATTCCATTTGAAATTCTGGAGTTGATAAAATTATCCTGTTTTAGTGCCGGCAACCTTGCCTGAGGGGCGTATAATATCATGTGATTCATGGATTGAAGTTGTTTTACATCATTTGTTCAACTTCATTGCAAAATTAAGGTTACAATTGGTTGACTTCTATTTCATCATTCCTAACTGCAGGTGTTGACAGAGTTGAAACCATTTGTTGATCTTGCTGAGAGATTGGGGAGACTGGCTGTCCAGTTGGTAGCGGGAGGAAGTGGTGTGAAATCAGTGAAAGTGACTTATGCTTCTGCTAGAGCTCCTGATGACCTGGACACTCGGGTACTACGTGCCATGATAACCAAGGGTCTCATTGAGCCCATATCCAGTGTTTTTGTGAATTTAGTCAATGCTGATTTCACTGCCAAGCAAAGAGGACTCAGGATAACCGAGGAGAGAATCATCCTTGATGGCTCCCCCGAGAATCCACTTAAATTCATGCAGGTCCAAATTGCTGATGTGGAATCTAGATTTGCCAGCTCACTTTCGGAATCTGGGGAGATTAAGCTCGAAGGTCGGGTGAAAGACGGTCTCCCTCATCTTACAAAGGTTGGATCTTTTGATGTTGATGTGAGCTTGGAAGGTAGCATTATACTCTGCAGGCAGGTGGATCAACCAGGTATGATTGGAAAGGTCGCGAGTGTTTTGGGAGAGGAGAATGTAAACGTCAGCTTCATGAGCGTGGGAAGGATTGCTCCTCGTAAACACGCTGTAATGGCAATTGGGGTGGATGAACAACCTAGCAAAGAAACTTTGAAGAAGATAGGGGAGATTCCCGCCATTGAAGAGTTCGTTTTCCTCAAGTTATAAGAGATTGATTTTCCGCTTCTTTTTTGGTCTGTTGATTTTGATTGGGAATGGCTGCTTGATGTGACCGTTTTATAGAAAGACTAGTTGAGAGTGTAGTTTTAGGAGGGTGAGAAGAGAATAATTCAAATTTTGCAATGGTGGGTTCTTCTCGTTTTGGTCAGCATGGAGCGGGTTTTAGCATTTCATCTTGGGAATAATTGTCCAGTCGAGTTGGTGCTCATCCGAGTTTGTATCAGGTGAGATAGGTTTTCCTGTTTAGTGGATTATGCGACGTCACTATGAGCTCAAATTAGTACGTAAAGTGGCTTTTAAAAAAAAGTAAAGTATTAATTAATGGAATGGGATAAATTCCATGCTCATCTTCAGTAAGCACTGTTTGTTTCTAGGTAATAGGCGCTCTGTAAAATAAAGCGGCAGTTTCGTGATGTTGAAGAGTCCAAATAATATATAAAATTTATGTTAGTACCTCATAGTTTTGATGTAAAGTGCATGTCTCCTAGCACTGCCATGCTGGTGTTTTGACACGAGGCAGAAATCTCGCCAAAAGGCTGTGGATGTAACTATTCAGAGACAATCAATTGTTAGAAAGCCTTGGTGTATTTGTCCTTGTGTGTGGGATAGGCGGCTTAAAGCAAATAAGTGGACACGTAAGACAAATCGTGTGGGGGACAGTGTATGTACCATGCGAGTATAAATTAGGAAAAATTGATGAAAAGGAATTGTTAAAAGAGAAATTGTGTTCAAAGATAAAGTTGAATTTAAGGATTAAATTAAATATTTTATTTATTAAATAATATGAAAAAATATCCAAAATGTCTCTCTACTTAACTAATGAAATTGGAAGGAAAAAAAAAAAAGACTGCTTATTTAACACATGTATTTCAAATCAAAAGTTGTGCACCTCATGTCAAAAATCATAAAAGGCAGTTGTAATTTGTATTAATCATGGGTGCAAGACTTTTGATTTGAGATGTAAAATTTTTGGTTGGGATGTAAGACTTTTGGCATGAGGTGTGCAGGTAGCCTTTTTTTTTTTTTTTTATCTTTTTAAATTTCATTAGTTTAAACAAAGACATTTCAATCATTTGTTCAAATTATTTGATGAATAAAATATTTAAATTGATCCTTAAATTTAATTTGATCCTTGAGCACAATTTCTCTTTTACCAAGACCTTTTTCACCAATTTTCCTTATAAATCATTGTGAAATATATATTCATGGTGAAACTGTAATCTGTATTAACGGTTGGGATTAATTGTTGAAAGCTTTTATGCTTATATAACATTTGTAGTGCTTCTTTGGATAGTGTTCATATGGGAATGTGCTAACTAGAAAACATAGAACTCGCGGAAAATTTTGGATTCTTATACGCATCTTGGAAATTCAGTGTTTCTACACTTGGAACTGTCGGCTGGAACCATCAAATTCTAGCGAGGAATTCCATGCATAAATCATATCATTCCCTTTAAGAGAGAAATAATCTAGTCTCATCTCTCATGATGCTTCACATGATAAACCTCAATGGCAATATGCAATTTCTAGAGCTACATCTCTTACTTTAACTCCTTGTGATGTCAAACATTTAACGAAACTTCCTAGCATTTACAATTTATCAAATTCAAGAATATTTTGAGACTCCCAGAAGACCTTTTATGAATTGTACAAACCATACTTCTGTCGCTCAAAATCTTTATTCACAACATCCACTGCATCAAGTTCATTTGGAATGCCAGTGAACTCTGAACTTCTGATTTAGGAACCAGAAAGAAAAGGAATCTCAGCTAGAGTTGTGGGTAACGAGATGTGGAGGTTATTAACTAGTAGATATGCAGCAATTCCAGCAGCATAACCTGCGAAAGCAAAGCCACTAACCTGCAGAGGACATGGATAGCTTATATTACCGAGCTATTAACTAGTGTGCCTCTTGTGCTTTACACAACGTTTAAGAAATAAGATGAACTGTTCATGACTTATAAATAGCTTGGCTGATTAAAGTTTTTGTATTATTCCAATAGGTAAGGATAGTATCTTTAATTCGTTATAGTGGCACATACCTTCCGTAAGTACCAGAAAAAGTCCACCTTTTCCATTCCCATCAATGCAACTCCTGCAGCTGAGCCGATAACTAACATGGATCCACCAGTACCAGCACAAAACGCAATCAACTGCCAAAACTCAGAATCTTGTGGGAAAGCGGAGAGGTCATACATTCCCATTGTTGCTGCTACTAATGGCACATTGTCTATTACAGCTGATATGACTCCAACAGCACTTGCTATCACTTCAACATTTGGAATATGTGCATCAAGGTAATTTGCTATTTCCCTTAGAATCCCTGCTGCCTCCAGGCTAAAGAACAATAACGTTAAACTTGATTCAATAAAAGTGAAAGTAAGCAAGTTGGAAACCTAAGGCGTCATGTAGATACGATATTTCACAATGGAAGAATATGTGAGCACAATTCCTCTTCCCAGAAGGAAATCTGGCACAATTCTTGATAATTTTTTTAAAAGATTTAAATTGAAATGAATGCACAGGTATTATCTGAAGTTTATTGTATCATCTAAAGCACAAACATTGTTATGTTTTCTAAGTCACCTGCTGACAGATAATAGAATCCCGAGGAAGAATAGTGCTCCTTGAGTGTCTATTCTTGATAAGGCTTGTGGTACTTTAAGTTTGTTTCTCTCAGATTCACCATAGTGAATAGCATCAGTGAGGATCCAAAGCACACCAAGTCCAAGCAACATCCCCATGTAAGGAGGTAAACCTGTGAGGGCTTTGAACACTGGGACAAAAATCAAAGCCCCAATACCCACAGAGAAAACAAGCTGTCCTCGAGGAGCCATCTGTTCAGATGCCAACACATTGGGTGAATCCTGTCCCCTCCCATTCACTTCACTGAACAAAAGATTAGTGTCATTTACATCATAATTTCCCAAGACAATACATTTCAAATCATATTCTTAAGTACTTTTGCAGGGAAAGTACCTAGTCAGTGACATAAGAGCCAGAGGCACAGCTAGAGAGATAGCTGAAGGTACAAACAGTCCCTGTAAGCAAAGGAAATGGCATCATGAACATACTAACAAACACTTCCTCAGAATCAGTTATTGATGCAAGTTATATGACATATGCACTGCTTGCAATCAATGAACAACAAGGGAAGAGTTTGACCAATGGAATTCACATTTTGAGTAACACATTAACATATTTTACTTATCTAATTACCAGTTCTCACAATGTTTCAGGTCGAATTGTACCATGACCCAACCAAACAGATAACTAGCACCAATTTGCAAGGGAGATAACCTTCATTGTTGGCAAAGTGGATATTTGACCATGTATCCACAGCATAGTAGTTGTAACATCGCCAATAGGAGTCCATGCACCACCAGCATTTGCAGCTATAACAACAACAGCTCCAAGAATCCTGTCAACAAATATAAATCAGTAGCTCTTCAGGAAGTCCAAATATCAATAGAAGCTCCTTTTAACAAAAATGTCATAATCAAACTCATTGAAGACCACCTTAGCTAGTAGCATGTTTCTGAGGTTCAGGTGTGTCAAGAACGAAAATAAAATAAGCCAGATTTGAGGGACTCACTCCTCCACTCTTTATTCAGTACTACTCTTGCTATTAGGATGCAACAATGGCAGGGTGACAGGTATCTGTTTAAAGTGCGGCTATTATGTTGTTGAACTACTTATAGATATTGGAGTACTAGATTCAAAAGCTTATGCTAAAAGTATCAAGAAACATGATTAATGCAGATTGCAGATTAAAGATTTAAGAGCTTACACTAATTTTATTTAATCTTACAGATATCAAGTGCTAGAGGAATCAGATGGCGGGATGCATCTTGGATGAAAAATTTTTAAGATCCCTGGAGCATCTATGCTATGATTCTTTATGAGATATTGAAGAAAAGTGAGAAAAACCCAGTGTCATAAAGTTGCTGCAAATGGGTGTGGGGAGGGTAGATAAAGTATAAGAGGTTAAAAGAACAAAAACAAGAATAATGCATGAACACCCCCCTCACTTAGGTTGTGGCATTTTAGAAAAGCAGCCCACATCTAGTCCTTTGATGCATGGAATAGCATTATGCTGAAAATTTATAACATAACATTATTGAACTATTGTTATAAGAGAGACACATACTTTCGATACTCTGATGGAGGTACCAGTTTCCGCAACAGAGAAACCATGACAATTGTAGACGTCAGGTTGTCTAGGATTGAACTGAGGAAAAATGTTACAAATCCAATCTGCAAATATAACACTAATGTCTTATGATACTATTTAATTAGATGAAATCTTCATCTCATAGCCACTGGAACAGACATGTCAGTTGAGCTTATTAGAGACGGATAGTCTATGCGGTCTCAAACAACATATTTGCAAAGCAACATCATGTGCATGGGGGTAAGGGCTAGGAAAGAGCATGGTTCTACTGCTGCCCGCTCCTCTATAAATGATGCATTTTATTCCTTAAAAATGTAAAATTTGAGCACCAGACATTGGAAAATGTATTGCATTTATGCATAGCATTTTGCAAGGAGAAGTGTTTGCAAATACCATCCAATGACAACCAAACAGCATGTCGGATATTAACTAGTTTAGTCAAATAAATAAGGAAAAACAAAATACAGGATACAAAAGTCTTTTGAAGTGAGAACAAGATGCAGAATAGAGCGCTCACCGCCCAAAGAAGAGTATGTGGCTTTCGAGTTGTTATATTGTCAGTAACCAACTTAAATCCCTGATGAGCATCAACTATCTCAACAATGGTCATTGCACCAAGCAAGAAAAACACTATTTCACTAACTTCTGCAGATGCATGTGTCAGCTCTGAAATAGTTGTATCAGTTGAAGGAGCCTGCAAACAACCCAGGAAACTATAGATATGAACTGAATCATAAACGTATACATATCACTTGAGCAGAAAAGAGACACGAAGGATGTCAATGAAGGAAGAGAACAAATGAGAAAGACATAACCAAATGCAAGTTAGGCAACGAAAATCTGTCATTTATTGATCAATTGGTGAACTGTCATGGTGCCAATGACAAGGAGCTTTCATACAGGCATATGGGACTAGAGGCATCAAGTGCAACTTGAAAGTGATCTAAATCTCAAATGCCAGATAATGCATGTGGGCAGCTCTTGATTAATCAAGAATTACTGATTTTTCATCATTAAATAGAATATTACCCCAATACTCCTTATCACCCATAAGCTTACAGCCATCAATAATCCTACTCCACTTTTATTGAAGGCTAGAGATTCTTCAAATATGATTCCTGCATATCCTATTCCAAATAGCAATGCCATAGCAAGATCCTGTATTTCAAGATCACGTAAATCTAAAAGAAGTAGGAATATAACATAATCAGAAAAATTCAAACGGATGCGCTATGAAACATACAGATAATGAGATCCATAGACCTGACCTGATTAGCAGCTACCCAAGAAT